CAAATACCTGGGGCACGTAATCAGGAGTGACCTCGGTGATGACATTCAGAGGCAGCACTGTAAGCTGTATGGACAGGCTAACACTTAAGCGCAGAGATTCTTGTTTTAAGATTTTTTTCCTAATGTATTATGGGAAAAAAACAAGAATATATTTCTTGATTTAAGCAATTTTCTTCCAATAAAAAGGTCAGATTTAAACAAAATATTCTTGTTATTTAAAAAACAAGAATATATTTCTTTATTTAAACAATTTTCTCCCAATAAAAAGGTCAGATATAAGAAAAGTATCCTTATTATTGGATAATTTTAGGAAACAATGCTTAAACAAATGTTTGATTAAGGATTAATTTGCTTGTTTTATGCTCTTTTTTGCAGCCTTTTTCTATTTGTAGACTGGTTTTAAGCAAAATTGGCTTAATAAGAAAAATAATATAAGCAACACATATGTTTTGATCAAAGAAGTGAACACTAGTGATGGGTCCAGCTACACTGATACCACCGGCGCATGTGCCGAGTTCGTTTAGCGAAACCTCGTATCGGCGCACGTGTCGCTTTATGAAAAAGCCACGTGACCGATACAGCCGCAGTGTCGCTTGTCACCGACACGGCAAACTGTGTTTAAAAGGTTCCGCATCTGCAAGTGTCACCGGTATGAACCGCTTTCAGAAAAAGAAAATAACCCGTTCAAAAAGGAAAAACATCCCATTTTACAGCATCAAAATGGAACTTGCCACTAAAAGAAAGTATTCTGCAGTGTGATACTGCAAATAACAGCAAATAAGGCAATGTTTGTATTTTACATTTCACGCTTTATCTACAATCAAGATTTAGTTTGAAACGGAAAATCTAGTTAGGCATGATGGATGAGTGGATAGCGCTCTCACCTCGCGTTTGAGGGAACCGGGTACGAATCCCAGTCGGACCTCAAAAGTTTATGTTGACATCAACATCAACTTGAAGAATGATTGAGAAATTGCAGTATAGAAAATGTCAAAGGTTTTTTCAAGTATACTTTAGTTGCCAGGGTTTACAGTGCACTTTGGACATGCTTATTGTTCTGAAAAAAAAATAAAATATATATATATATATATATATAAAAAAATCACTCAATGACATTTTGCTTAATGAATACATTCACAACTATCACTTTAATTTTCACATAAAAATAAACACAGACAATGCAGTTACGTAATATTGTGTACAGACAAGTAGGTAAAGCTCATTGAATCATTGAGTTGGATGCAATGATTTATCAGATCCACCAGGCGTCAGTATAGAGCAGCACAAGCAACACTGTTGCAGCACAGTATCAATACAGTTCGTTGGATGTGCCGAAACGATACGTGAGGTTTCATTTACCCATCACTAGTGAACACAAATGCGAAGGACAGATTTACAGGGTTTATAACAGGAATGAAGGTTGGGCTGGTAGGGTGGGCCGGAACTGGAACGGGAGTAGGAGCTGTAGCAGGAGCAGGAGCGAAGTGGCTGCAACTGGCACAAGTTTCTGAGATCAGCACAAAACAGATTCAGATTCAGATTCATTTATTTCGCCATTTGCAGTAACACTACATTGGAATACATTTGTAAAAGTTCCCAGTGTGCACAGGACAAGTACAGACACAAAACAACATTAAAAGACAAAAATAAAACAAATTTTAAAAACAGTAAACAAATGTCACCGTGAAGTTGACCAACTTAAAACAGATCTATACAAGTGCAAAAAAACATTAAAGTGCCCTATTCAAACTGTTAACAGCTCGTGGAAAAAAACTATTAGCATAACGAGATGTCCTGCATCTCAGAGAACAGTATCTTCTGCCAGAGGGAAGAAGCTGGAACGAGGCTTTTCCTGGGTGGCCAGAAGAGTCATTGATAATTCTCAGGGCTTAAAACATGAGATTAGACGAGGGCTTCAAAAACTAGCAAAAATAGCAAAAGGCCTGAGGTGTTGTCTCACGATGTAGACTGAGGACCTGACAGAGGACTGAGGAAATGCCCAGGCTTAAACACAGAGATGATTAGAGATGAGGGGCAGGTGTGCAGGACAGGAACAGGGAGCAGGAACAGCCATGCCCACAGCCACGCCCACAGCAGCAGGAACAGGAGGGAGGGGGTGAGGCGCTTACAGTCAGCTCAATACCAAAACAATATCAGATGCTATTGTTTTGTTGTGTCTCACATCATGTTCCTATATGGCAGGAAGTTCACCCTACCGACGAATCATCGACCTTTAAATTCAATTTTTGGACCCCATAAATATAAAAGTGTGCGTTCTATTCGCTAGAGAGTTCATTCTCCAAACTATCTACTAACTAATAACACCGGAGGCTGATAGTAATTCTAGCTGTTTATTTACAGAATGAAAAACCTCAATAAAGCATAAGAATCTTTGTGTGTGAGTCATGAATCAAAGAAATGTACACCATTACCAAAAGCAGACACATTTACACACATTGGCATTCAACGATACGTCTTACTGTGTGAAGATGGCTTTTAGTATAGTTCCTTTGTTGGTAAAGTAGACACGTAGTCCTGCTTTTGGTCCCGGAGGTCTCTGGAGGGAGTTTTGTTGTTGTTGTTCTCCGTGGCAGACGGGATGTGTAGCGCAGCGTCCCGTCCGGCTTGTTGTTGCCGCTAGGGGGCACTAAAATCACAGTCTTAAAGAGTCCAAATCGCATTTGCAGAGGGCGTCCTCCCCTGTGGAGATTGACGTGGGGTGTCTTTGATGCTTGTCTGTCTCGATGGGGGGGGGATAGTGGTTACTGGAACACCGGGGAAATACACAGATGTCTTTGATGTTTGTCACTGTTGGGACACTGTGTGTTTTGATTTATTTAGAGTGTGTCGGTCTGTGGCAGGTGCGAACAGCAGCTGGTTACCTGAATCTCATCTTACAGTTAATATCCTGACCCCTGCGTGTCTGAGCAGCTCCAGGGCCACCTCCACGCACTTGGAGAAGGTGCGCGTACCCGAACGGGAGGCGGCAATACTCGTAACATTTTCCTCCCACAGCAAAGCGCAGAAAGCGCCTGTGCTCTGGCATTATCGCGATGTGAAAATAGGCGTCTGTCAAGTCTATGGCAGACATCCAATCTCCGGGCCTGACGCACTCCAGCAGCTGCTTCATGGAGAGCATGCGGAACGGCTGTTTGGAGATGCACTGGTTTTATGTGCGCAAATCCAAGATGGGGCGCACCCCCCCTGATTTCTTGGGCACCAAGAAGTACGGGCGTACAGCCCCCTGGAGGCATCCCGCAGGTCCACTTGGACCGCGGCGCCTCGTTCCAGCAGAGAGGCGACCTCCAGCTGGAGGGCCTCCTCTGCTCCATGCCCCAGGGAGTCAAAACGCCCTGGAATGGCGGTGGCCTCCGAGCGAACTGCAGGGCATACCCCCTGCGCAGCGTCTTCTCTACCCGAGCTCACTCCAGACCCGGTAATAACCTTTGAGGAGGAGTACAGGACCTGGAACACTTGCCCCGGGTGCCCCCCACTCTCCTGGTGCTCCCACAGAAGAGGGGGGGTGCTCCAAAGGGCCGGGGGTCCCTAAGCGCTACGCTGGGTGAGACGGATGGGTCCCGACCCTCTGTGTCACTTACAGCAGCCTGACTCTTACGCTTCACTCCCCTTCGAGAGGATGAAGCGCTAGTCATATCAGAGACTGGAGTAGAGGTAAGAACCGTAGCAGTCTGACTCACACGCATTAAGCCTCCCCGAAAGGAAAAAGCGCTAGACCTGCTAGTACCTAGAGCGGTGGTCTGGACTAGCCTGTCCCACTCGTAGCAGCCTGACTCCTACGCTTCACTCCCCTCCGAGAGGATGAAGCGCTAGCCTCACTGGTGCCTGGAGTAGTGGTCTGGACAATGGCAGTCTGACTCTCACGCTTCATTCCTCTCTGAGAGGATGATACGCTAGTCTCACTATAACTTGGAGTAACAGTCTGGACCGGCCGCTGCAGATCGATCTCCACCAAGTGTGAATGAGCTGTTCACGAGACAACACTGCCCTCTACCTGCGAGGGCATGTCATGCCGGAACATTGGAGACTCACACGTAGCTTCTAAGGGGGGCAACCCAGAGGGACGGCGGTCCCTGTGGGACCTGCTGTGTAAGACAGAAAGAGTCACCAGGCCCCCTGTCCCACTTATAACAGCCTGACTCTTGCACTTCACTCCTTCACTCCTCACTCGTATCTGATGCAATGGTCCGGTCTGGCTGCTGTAAACCACTCTCCGTCAAATGTGCCTGAGCTGTTCGTGAAACAACACTGCCATCTATCTGATTGATTCAGATTCAGATTCAGTTTATTTGCCATTTGCAGTAAAAACACCACATTGGAATTGTAACCCACTTTGGAATTAACATGAACGACTCAAAGAGCTCAAATGTAAAGTGTTGGAACTATAGCCACAATGAAAGACAGACAATAGTTAAATGTAAATTGATTTAGTTAATTATGTCAAGAATTGTTACCACAAATACAATGTAATGTAAAATAAAATACAAAATAAATAGGCGCTATGAGATTTCATAACACTTTGAAGCAACTTTTGTTAAAGTTAAACTCATCATTCTATCAATGTGCAGAAGCCTGTACTTTTCCCTTGTTTTGTCTATCTGAAGGCCAAGCTACAAGCACACCGTGGAAGCTGCTGATTGGAGGTCTCCATGCCTCCGCTCTGTATAATACACTTGCATTCTGTTGTATCTGTGATCGTGTGCTTTGTTCGTGCTGTCTCTACCATCGACAATAAAACATGTCTTCTGTCTGAATGTAAGACGCGATCCCAGACTATGTCATCTTCTTCAGTGCCTTTAAAATAACCCAAAAATAAACCGTTAAAGTCTGTGAGTGCACTTAAAGTTTTGTTCAAGGTGGTCAGCTGACACGGTCCTACGCAGCCGATAGCTCATGCGGTCTGCAATGGGATCATCCAGTTTTGGCTCAGGTGGGGTGGCTCGCCATCTAGTGGTCTTCTTCAAAGATGTTTCCAAATCTCATTAAAAAGACCTGACCTGTATTAAAAAGACAGGCTAATAAATGTCTTGCTCCAGTCATGACAATTAATCTAATTCTAATTCAAAGGTACAACATATTTCTCATGTACAGTACATAGCAACAAAAAGAGATTTTCTGTATGCAAACATTTTCTAATTTTTCATATACATAAACCATTAATAGGATTATTTCAACCCTTTATACAATAAACAATAAACAATAGCATTTTAGTCACAGACAACATTTCTCACCGATTCACGCGCGTATGAGCCGGGACACAGTGACGTCACGGCTCTGGATGTGAGCGCTCGCGCAGATAACGGCCTCTGTCATCAATATGGACCGGTTAGAACATTTAGACAAACAGCCAACACATCATCAATCAAGCAATTCTTTACCAATCCTCTCTCGTTCCTTTGCGGAACGGTGTCGGAATCTGCGCTCAGCTTGTCTTTCTCTCTTTTCTCTGCTCTAAAACAGTGAGGAGGTCCGTTAGTGTAGCGGCCGTTGGTCATTTGCGGACGTTAAAGTTGCGGTGGTCACTACAAAGTAACTCTTACCGATCAGTCAACTTTAACTCCAGGCCAGCAACAGGACTCTTCTTTTGGCTTGGATTGATGTCATTTTTCCTCTGATTTGCGCTTTTGGGTTGTTGAAATGATGGAGCTGAGCTTTGCGTGTGTCTCGCTGCGTGTGTCTCGTTGCTTGACTCCGGTCAGAGAGGGGAAGCGGGGTCGCGTGCACCGTGGATCTGAACGTAACGTTTTGGCTGTTGCTACGCGACTTATATGCTGCACTACAGTGCATTGTGTTGGCACATACACAAATAAATAAATAAACAAAGTAGACATTTTCATTTAGTACTTAAATATGTTAGCCATTCCTTTGTGGTTTACATTTAAATTAGGAATTTGGTTTTACACCTGGGTTACAGAATACATTACCAAAAAGTCTCCAGTGTGCACAGACAAATACAGACATAAAATAACATTAAAAGACAGAAATAAAACAGTAAACAAATGTCGCTGTGAAATCGATCGACTAAAACAGTTTCAAAACAAGTGCAAATCATTAAAGAGCTCTGTTCACACTGATAACAGCCTGTGGATAAAAACTGTTAGCGTAACGAGATGTCCTGCATCTCAGAGAGCGATATCTTCTGCCAGAGGGAAGAAGCTGGAACATGGCTTTTCCAGGGTGTCCAGAAGAGTCATTAACAATCCTAAGAGCTTTGTTTAAAAGTCTGGATGTATAAAGAACCTCCAGAACAGGAAGCTCACAGCCCACGGTCCTCTTTGCAGAGCGGAGCACCTTGTTTAAAGCTCTCTTTTCTTTATCTGTGATGTTTCCAAACCACACAGATACAGAACCAACAAGTAAACTCTCAATGGTGCAGCGATAAAAGTTAAGCAGAATCTTAGAGTTAGTGGTAAATTCTCTAAGTTTACACAGAAAGTAGAGACGCTGACGAGCTTTCTTAACGACTCGGTCAGTGTTTTTAACCCATTTCAGTTCGTTAGACAGAGTTAAACCCAGAAACTTGCACTCCTCTACAATCTGCACCTGGGAGTTGTCGATTACGACAGGCAAATGAGAACTGTTACGACTGAAGTCAAAGAACAGTTCACATGTTTTCGATGCGTTCAACTGGAGGTTGTTAGTTTTACTCCACTGAACCACATTTTGTATCTCTGCTCTATAAGAGGATTCATCATTGTTACTGATGAGACCGATGATGGTGGTGTCATCAGCATATTTGATGATCAAGTTTGAGTCAGAGGAGGACACACAATCGTGGGTGTACAAAGTAAAAAGCAAAGGACTCAAAATACATCCCTGAGGAGAACCAGTGCTCACAGAAACAACATCAGAAAAACAGTCATTGATTTTCACTCTCTGAGATCTGTCAGTTAAAAAGCTAAAAATCCATTTACACATGGCAACACTTAAACCGAGAGACATGAGCTTTTCAATCAGTTTACCTGGGACAAGGCAGTTAAAATGAGAGCTATAATCGATGAAAAGCATTTCTCGCGACAGATTTACTAGTGTCCAAGTGACTGTAGACAGAGTTCAGAGCAAAGGAGATGGCATCCTCCACACTCCTGTTCTGTCTGTAAGCAAACTGGAGCGGGTCAACACTCACAGGGATCTGGCTCTTAATGAAGTAAAATTATGTGTGCAGGTTTTGAAATAAATATTTCATTCATTCATTCATTAAGTCCAGCACAAGCCGCTCAAAAGTTTTCATAAGAACAGACGTGAGGGCCACAGGACGATAGTCATTCAGGCATGTCACAGGAGTTTTCTGTGAAGGCATGTCATGCAGGAACATAGGCAATGCCTTTATCCAGGACAGACATCGTCACCCTATCCCGCTCAGAGGGAAGGAGAGGTCCAATGCTTGGCCACGTAGAAGACTTGGGCAGCAGCGCCAATCTCACTGCGTCTCCCACGTCTGGGTCCCCGCCGGACCAGGACCAGTCTCGGATGGTGCAATAGGGGCCATAACCCAGAGCAGGCCCTTTGGCTGCCGGTGAATCACCGGGTCCATACGCGGACACAGCGTTGGTGTCAGCCTCTCTCTCCCCATTCAGAAGCACCCACAGACGTGAAGTCAGACTCAGTCTGGGTGGGTTGCGGAGGGAGGGGGATCTCCATCCGTAGCTACAAGTGGGCGGGGCATGTGATCGAGCGGGAACGGTCCTGTCCCTTGCACCAGAAAAGTAAGTAAGTAAGTAAGTAAGCTTTATTTATATACCGCCTTTCACAGACCAGAGTCACAAAGCGGTTTACAATTGTTATTATTTTTGGGCACTTGTCCTCTCACTCCACACAGAGATGGGAGCGGGGTCGCCGAAAATGGCTTAATCTAGAGTGACTAAGGAACCCAGGTCCTCGTCAAACTTGTTCTCCATGAACAACTCCCTGGGTGCGGGAGGCAGGTCAAGCAGGACATACTCCACTTCGGGTTCTTCCTCCTGGGAAGGACCCAGGCGAGTCTCGCGCGTATGCTGCTAGAAAAGAAGCTGTGTCCGAAGGCCTCGTGTTGGAGACTGTGCAGGGTGACCAACAATGTCAGCCACCGGTGCATGCAAACAACTACATAACTGATGTAGTTGATAGTTAACTGATATATATACATACATACATACATTATATATAAGAATCAGAATCAGAATCATTTTTATTGCCACGTAAGTAACAGGAAGTCACAGACTTGGAAATTGCTTGAATGAATGAACACTTTATTACACACAAGTCCAACCCAATGAACTATAAGTACTTACTTGGAGCATATTTCGTCTTGGGTTGACCACCCCAGAAGACAAACCGTTATTTGCATTCTCCACATTTGCTTGGTTTTTGGAGAGAGGGGTTAAGCTGCGGCTACACGGAGGAGCAATTCTACTTCTTCGTCCGTCCAGACGAAACCACGCCAAACTCTAGCTTAATTTTCCATTGTTGTTGCTGCTGTTGTTAAATGCAGAATGATGGTTGTGCACGCTTTGTTGTTGGGGAAGTAGTTACACTGCTGGGGGGCAGGGGGTCATGTGTGTTGTCTCGTAATGTTCCTCTGCCCGCTACTGGCCAGGCGTTTGAACTACATAGTTTTTTCAACCTCGCATGAACGCTGTGAAATTTGCATAAGGAGCATGGTTGTTTCTGTTAATAGCTTGGCAACGTCTGCGCAGCGCCTACGTATAAATGGATGTCGGTTTCTACCCCCCGTTCATACAGACTGTGTTCCAGGGGGGTGAAAACGTTAAAGAGTTGATATACAGCATGCAGAGTGGGACAGCTCAGATACGCTGCTCAGTGGGGCGCTCTTTCACACCCACAAAAAGAAAAATGTGTGAATTCTCTGCTGCTGCCTGACCCCAACCTCCCCGCACGTACATTTGGACATGCGCAGTAGCCGAGAACCAACGTAAACAACAATGGCAGCGGGTACACTAACTAGCTACGTGTGCTTAGAGTGCTACACATAGGAGAATTCTACACCTTCGTTCGTCCAAACGAGACCACGCAAAGCTCTAGTTTCAGTTTCCTTTTTTGCAGGCGCTGTTAAAATGCAGAATGATGTTGGTGCATTCTTTCACATCTTGCAGAGGAAGTGAATATACTGCTGGGGGGGCTGGGGCTCGCGTGTGTCGTGTTGTAAAGAACTACATCGTTTTTGATCCTCGTATGAACGCTGTGAATGTAGCTTTTGGAGCCTGGTTGTTTCTGTTAACAGCTTGGCAACATGCCCAGCACCTCGGTGTAAATGGGCCTCAGATACGCTGCTCAGTGGGGGGCTCTTTAACACCTGCGTGAAGAAAAGGTGTGAATTCTCTGCTGCTCTGAACCCCACTTCCCCGCACGTACATTTGGACATGCGCAGTAGCCAAGAACATATGTAAACATCAATGGTGGGGCGGGTCAAGTAACTAGCTACGTGTGCTTCGAGCGCTACACGGAGGAGAATTTTACTCCTTTGTTCGTCCAAATGAAACCATGCAAAGCTCTAGTTTCAGTTTCCATTTTTGGAGCTGCTGTTAAATGCAGAATTATGTTGTCGCTCTCTTTCACGTATTAGCGGAGGGCTGTTGAGGAAGTGAGTATACCGCTGGCCAGACAGTTTCATCCTCGTATGAACACATAAGGACCCTGGCCGTTTTTGTTAATAGCTTGGCAACGTCTGCGCAGTGCCTCCATCTAAACAGAGCCTGAGATGACTTATCTCCTGTTCAATTAACAACAGCTGGAGCAAGGTTTTGGCGTTGTTGTGACTTGTGTCAGCTTTATCTCAAGGAAGACAGCAAAAATAAATAAAAATAAATGTTTTATTTTAAGTCAACTTCCAGTGCACCCAGACCCAGAGAGAGACAAGAAAGAGGCCATTCTACGTCATGGTGCTACGTCCCTTAGCGGAATTCGCTAGTGGGATATCACGTGACCCCCAGGTCACACGCCAGAGAGATCAAAAAATAATAAATGCTCCAATCACTAGTGACCCTCCTCTATAAAAGCCCCTGCACAAGGACCGAGCCCCCTCTTTCACTCTGGCGCCTTTGAGATCTTACCTTCTTGTCTGCTGAGATGTCTGAGGAGTCCAGCACTCTCGTCCGGTAATCGGCCGCAGACTTTGGGTCTGGAGGCTGAGAGGCGGAACCTTGTAGACCTGGGTCTCCCCCCGGTGGTGGTGGAGACTATTCAGGGGGCGAGGGCGCCGTCCACAACTGTAATTATTTGCAGTTCATCCAGAGCGATCATGGGCCTCTTGGCTGCATCTCTGATCAGTCTTCTCCTTGTTTGAGATGAAAGTTTGGAGGGATGGCCGGGTCTTGGTAGATTTGCAGTGGTCTGATACTCCTTCCATTTCAATATAATTGCTTGCACAGTGCTCCTTGAGATGTTTAAAGCTTGGGAAATCTTTTTGTATCCAAATCCGGCTTTAAACTTCTCCACAACAGTATCTCGGACCTGCCTGGTGTGTTCCTTTGTCTTCATGGTTCTCTCTGCGCTTTAA